GCAAGTGACTCAACAGCACATAACAACAACAACAACATTGTAGGTATTGAAGTTAAAGGTATAGGAAAAATGTGTATGAATCGTTGAATGAAAAATTAATTTGCTTGTAAACCTTCACTCAAAAGATCATAAAAATTTGAAAAAGAAAGATGAGACAGTGTGTTCCATAAAGATTCTCAGCCTTAGAAACTTTCTGGCAATTCTACCCTGTTCTACAGGGTTTTGATGAATCAGAATCAACTTCATAGCAGTGGGGTTTGTGGTGTGTCTGTGTGAGAGACAAAGGTTTGGGTTTACAGAGCAAATTTCAATCCAGTAATTCATACACATTTTGTTTCTTGACCTTGACTGCAATCCTCCACTCTTCCTCCTTCATCCCTGTGTTTCCTGTTTCCATTCATCCTTCTATTCTATCCTTTCCTGCCATCTGGACTTTATCACTGTGCGATTGGCACAGGACAGAGCAGAGTTTAGGGCTGTTGTCCATAGGGTCGCTATGAGTCGCAAACGACTTGACGGCACATAACGACAACAACAACTACCAGTCCTAGTTAATTCGACGATGTAAATTCTTTCTTCAGAACTGCGAACCCATCAGTTAGCCCCTAAATGCTTTCGTCTTTGCGCCATCAGAGATCCTCCAATAAAGACTAATTGCAGAAGACTTTGATACTTTCTACCAATTGCTGTCCGTTCCAATGCGCAGGCGCATGACTCTGCCGGCGATTTCCGTGCACAGACTACAACTCCCAGAGTGCTCCGCACGCCCACGCGCCGCCTGGGAATGCCTGCTCTGCGTCAGGGCGCATGCGCTGACTCATGTGGGTCGGACTACAACTCCCAGAGTGCTCCGCGTTCTCGTTGCTCTTGCTGTTGCTGTTGCAGCTGCCGCCGCGGAGGCTACAATGGCGACTAGTAGGATCCATGGTTCTGGGCGCGCGGGTTTCGGGTTCCAGGCTCCCCGGGCGGAGCAGGGAGGGGGCATGTGACAGAGCAGGGACTGTGGGATTGGTGCTTTGGGGCACGCGGAGGTCACGGAGGGCATCTGGGGGCGGGAGTGATGCAAGCAGGTTAGAGGTCACCTGGGCAGCCCCATAGGGGTGACCCGCCTCGCCCTCCCCCCCGCAGGACTCGCAGCCTTCCTCAAGAATGCCTGGGACAAGGAGCCGGTGCTGGTCGTGTCCTTCACCATCGCGGGGCTCGGTGCGTGATGCCCCAGGCTCGAAAGTGCATGGCCATCGGCGGTCCACCTTTAAACCCAAGACCCATCAGCCTCCCACTTTCACCCCAGCACCCCTGTCATCCTTCCATCATTAGCTTCAAGTCTCCCCGCCCCCTCACCTCCTGGAACCCCCAGATCCCATTGCTGCCGTGAGCGTTCCATCAGTTGCACCCCAAGACCCCATCACCTCAATGTCCTGTCTTTACCTCAAAATTCCTACCCTCCAAACATGCCCTCGCCCCCGCTGATATTCCATTTTTTTAGCCCCGTGACCCACAAACACCGCGCGCTCGGGCCCATTGTCTTCCACGAGCCCCTTGGTCCTGCCTTACAGTTTCCACCCCTGCCACCCCCCCAAAAAGACTATCTATAAATTGGGATTCCCGGGGTGCTGCACTGGAGAAAGGTTCTGGACTTCCTTGCCCCCTCAATCCTCTGCTTTGGCCCAAATCCCCTTTCTGGCCCCCACTGCCAATCCCACTGGATACTTTCCTTGGACCTCACCCTCTCTGTGTCAATCCACAGCTGTAATTCTGCCCTCGTTAAGCCCCTACACCAAGTATGCCTCCATGATCAATGCGGTCACCCCCTACAGCTACCCAGGTGAGTGGGACCCGCTGGGACAGGCTTAGCCCCTGTGCTGGGGGTGGGAGGGACAGTGAAGGGTGGTCTGTCCTCCTAATCTTTAAGGGTCAGCTCCACTCTGTCCTTGAGGGTCACTTCGAGTCACAGTCAACTCAACAGTTGTGGGTTCAGTGTGGTTTTCCTAGCAGAAATATGTCATGTGTGTGTGAATATACCTCTATATATATAATATATACGTACGTATACACACACACATACACAGAGCTCACGTGAGTGCGTACCTGGGCTAAAATGCATAAAACTGTGTAAAATTTCACCCCAAGGAGTTTTGTGCTTTGAGTTTCTGTTGTCTCTCTGTACGTTCCTAATGGCTCAGAGGTTAAGCACAAAGGTTGGTGGTTCAGACCCACCCAGCATCTCCTTGAGAGAGCAGCCTGTCTGCTGCTGTCTTATTTTTGTCTTTCTCAGTCTCCATCTCTGCCTCCCTCTCTCCCTCTGGCTCCTGCAGTCCCCTCTGTCCCGTCTGCAGGTCTCTGGCTCCCGTCTCTCTCCCTGTGGCTTCCACTGTCCCCTGTCTGTGGGTCTCTGTCTCCCCTCTCCCTCTGCCTTTGTCTCTCTATCCCTGGCTGGCTGTCCCCTTGTCTCCCTTCTCTCTTGCTCTGGGGTCACTGTCTCTCTGTGAATGTGGCAGACCAGCCCTGGAGCTGTGTTGTTCTCAGCAGCACTCCCCCCCATCCCACAGTGCCCCTCCGAGATGATGGGAACATGCCTGAAGTGCCCAACCACCCCCAGGACCCCCTGGGTCCCAGCCTGGAGTGGCTGAAGAAACTGTGAGCACCTCCGAGGATGGGCCCTCCCCTCCAACCCCCAATAAAAACCTGAAAACCAACTGCAGACTCTTGTGTGATCTGAGGAAGGCAGCAGACAGTGGCCATACGTGAGAGTGGTTTATTGGGGAGGATTAGTCAAAGGGGGGGCTGGCCAGGGTGGGATAAGGCAGCAGTTTGTCAGGTCCCCGAGACACCCAGCTTGAGTCCAGGGTCTCGTCTGCTTCAAAGCCGAAGTCGTCTTCAACCTTGATCTGAGGACATGAGGACAGGGTGTGAGGGGGTCCAGCCAGTGCCCACCGGGCCAGACAGCTGTGTTAGGGGACCTCAGGGCCACCCGCATCCCTGGCCTGAACCTGCTTCAGCCTTCCCGTCACTTCACCGGGTCTTCCCGCCCAGGCGTCGAGCTCCTTCCCCCCTCCCAGCCTTCTCTGGGCCTCCTCCTCCTCCTCCTTTTCAGCTTGGGCTCCTTGTCGACCTAGCACCCGCCTCCCACCCTCCTCCACCTCCAAACCCGTCCTTCCTCTCTCCAGCATCTCTCCAGTGCCTCCCACATCCTCCCCAAGGCCCTCTTCCAGACTCCCCCCACTCTGTCCAGCCCCCTGCTCTCCCTGACCCTGCACCCCTCACCTGCACGGGGGCCAGTTCCGGAGTCAGTGAGGTTCCTGCTGCCCGTCGCCCGTCCCGCGGCGCACGCCGCCTCTTGCGTCCACCAGACCCCTCCCCGGTGGCTGGGCTGCTGGGCTCAGGGGGTCCTGGGGTCCTTCTGGGCGGGGACAGCCCCTCTTTCTCTGGGGACTCATTCTCAGCATTGCCCGGGGTGGGGGCATCAGTGCCCTGGCTGCCCTCATCCTGGTGGGAGAAGGGACAGCAAGTGAAAAGGGGTCTCGGCCCCAGTCTCCCCGCGTCCCCCAGGAGGCAGCTCTCACCTCTAGTAGGATGGTGAACTGGCTGGCACGGTAGTCGTCCCCATAGGAGTCCAAGACCCGCATGAGGAACCTGTGAGGGAGAGGCGGATGCCAGGGTCACCCCATGGGCCGCTGTGTCCCCTGGAGCTACAATGACCTCACTTGTAGCTGGGGTCACACCATGGATCACCATGGCCCCTGGAGCTACGCTGACCTCAAGCCTGTAGCTGGGGTCACACCCTAGGGCCAGCCATGTCCCCCAGGGTTATGCAGACCTCACACCTGTAACGGGGGCCCTGTCATGAACCAGCTGTGTCCCCCAGAGCTACGGTGACGTCACCTGTAGATGGAGTCATACCATGGACCAGTGTGTCCCCCAGAGCTATGCTGACCTCACACCTGTAGCGGGGTCACAGTATGGACCAGCACGTCCCCTGGAGCTGTGCTGACCTCACCTGTTGATGGAGTCACACCGTGGACCAGCTGTGTCCCCCAGAGCGATGCTGACCTCACACCTATAGCAGGGGTCACAGTATGGACCAGCTGTGTCCCCTGAACTATGCTGACCTCACACCTATAGGTGGGTCACACCATAGACCAGCTGTGTCCCCCAGAGCTACACTGACCTCACACCTGTGGGCGGGATCCCACCTGAGAAGGGGCTTTCTGGGGGCCTGTGGTTAAATACTCCGCTGCTAACCGGAAGGTGGGCAGTTCAAAGCCCCAGAGCCCCACGTGCAGTCTCCCTGTGCTTCCAGAGACAGGCCAGGGCCTCACACGGCACAGACAGTTCTGCCCTGTCCTCCGGGTCACTGGGGGTCAGTCCACACAAAGGGAGGGCTCTGGTTGTGGGGTTTTCCTCATGGCACTACAGGAGGCCTGGTGGCACAGTGGGTTAAACACTGGCTGCTGTCTGAGCCTCTGGCACTCTGAACCCCGGCCCTAAGCGAGCTCTGGTGGCAGGAAGCTGCGCTGCAATCCCAGAGGTGAGCAGTTCGAATCCACCAGATGCTCTGCTGGAGAAGGAGGGGCAATCTCCTGTACCAGGCAGATCCGATTTGATGGTACACACACACAAAAATCGTAATTTTTTAAAATTGTATTATTTTTACATGTACTGTCAAAT